ACCTACTGCAATCCTCCTGCCTCGGCCTCCTCAGTACTGGAACTACAGATAAGAGCCACCATATCAAGTTGAAGCAAAGCTTTTGGGAGGTGACAAGGCTTAGGTTACGGCAGGAGAGTGAGACCCGGCTGATGCGGTTAGTGTCCTTATAATAAGAAGAAAACACGGACGCCCTAACCTCCATGGACACATCACCAAGGAAAGGCCCTGTGAGCAGGCTGCAGGAAGGCAGCCGTGCACTAGGGAGCATGAACCAGGAAGCACGCACCGGGGAGCTGCTCTCACCAGGGGTAGGATCTCCTTAGACATGGACTCCCCAGACTCCAGAACTGTGAGAAATAACCACCTGCTGGGTGTCCCTTGGTCCACGGGAATCTGTGAAAGCAGGCTGTCCCCGTGTGTTGTCTGTTGCTCTGGTAAACACCATAACTGAAAGCAACTTGGGGAGGAAAGGGTTTATTTCAGCTTACAGGTTATATGGCATTCCTCGCCGAGGGAGGCCCAGGCAGGAGCTAGAAGAAGAAACCAGGAGGAAGGTTGTTCACTGACCTGTTCTCTTGTTTGCTGTCTGCTAGTTTTCTTACACAGCCCTGTCTCAACCGACTAGGCATGGTGCTGCCCACCGTGGTCTGGGCCCCCTTCACCAATCATCGGTCAAGACAATTCCTCACAGATAAGGCTGTGGTTGAGGCAACTCTCCCATGAGGCTCTGGGTTGTGTCAAGTTGACAAGAAAACAAGTCTAGCTAAGACAATCATTCACCATGAGCGACCAAGGACAGTAAGGCCTTGGAGGACGCAGAAGCCATTTACACCCATTTTTTTCACAGTTCTACCCTCTCAGATCCTCCCTCCACGAATACTCACGAAGGTGAGGATAGGTGTGGGCAGAGGATGAAGTATTGACTGAGAATAAGAAGCCTTTGAGAACCTCTCTGGGCTAGTGAGGGAGCGCAGTGGGTTAAGGTGTTTGCCTCTAAGCCTGCCGGTCCCCAGGATCAATACATTGGAAGAATAAATTGACTTTTACAAGTTGTCCTCTGACCTCTATGAACATGATACCCACAAATAAATGTAATAAAAACAGCGATCAAATTGCAATGATTATTTTATGGGTGACATGTATAAGCATAAAATTGCCGTTATTACTGTAGCAAACCCCTTTTCTTTCATTTTAAGACCTAAACTTTTACAGAAATGAGAAAGCTAATGTTACTTCATGGACTGGACAGTTTATAATATAAATAAAAAAGTTTCAGATAAATTCCTGGGATGCAGTTGTATAAGTTACAAAGGGGTAGGAATAAGCAGGGTGCATTTCTGACCCGTGAGTCGGAAGTCACAAAAGGCAGTGTCCTAATCCTTCCCAAACATCGTAGGAGCTCTGTTTGAAATAGGAACACTCTAGCAGACAAAGCTCACGGCTCGCCAGCATACCACTGCTGGGGAGTTGCCACGGAGTTGGGCTCAGCCACAGAGTTGGGCTCAGCCACGGACCTCTGAGTTCCACAGGCGTGCAGTTGATTCCCAGCCCCTGGACCACTGCCCACTCCTGTGAGAGTGTGTGCCCACTGCTCTCGGTCTCGAGAGTTGCTTGGTGCTCTGCGTCGCCAAGTGAGTCAGCACACAGTTGGGAGTGGTCCAAGGGCTCCTGCTCTTTGCTCGCCGGGGCTGTTTGCTGGCGATCACAATCCTTCCACATTATTGGTGGCTCTCAGTGACATTTAATGGAGCTTCTGGGGTGGCGAGTGAAAACTGGGATCTCAGAAAATCAAAACCTGCGATGACACACAGGATCTTGCTTACTGCAGATTTAAAAACAGCAGAGGACCTCAGTGTCATTCCATGGGGAGAATCAGCCCCTGGGTCACCTGTCTGGAAGCTAGGTGGAAGAGAGGGGGAAAGGACAAGCTGGCAGTCTTGGGACCATGTTTCCAGTTCTTCCTATGACTTCAAGCCCATGTTCATGCGCATGCACAGCCTACTACTCTTTGCGAGCACATTTCTGCCCATTGTCTTACCTGGGCCTTTTTTTTTTCTAGTTGTTTCTGATCCCCTCCCCCATCTTTTCATTATTTTCTTGGGTTGGCTTACAAAGAACTAGGTTTTGCTGTGACATTTTCATACATAGGTCATTCTAGTCATAAATAGGCCATTCTAGTCATAAATAGGCCATTCTAGTCATACATAGGCCATTATAGTCATACATAGGCCATTATAGTCATACATAGGCCGTTATAGTCACACATAGGCCATTATAGTCACACATAGGCCATTATAGTCATACATAGGCCATTCTAGTCATACATAGGTCATTATAGTCATACATAGGCCATTATAGTCATACATAGGCCGTTATAGTCACACATAGGCCATTATAGTCATACATAGGTCATTCTAGTCATACATAGGACATTATAGTCATATAGAGGTCATTATAGTCATACATTGATGTGGGAGTGTCATATATCAATCTGTTGATTTCATTGGTTAAGCAATAAAGGAACTCCTTGGCCCTGATAGGTTAAAAGATAGGTAGGAGGAGTAAACAGGAGGAAGAGGAAGTGAGGTCAGACTCTGCTCTGCTCTGGGGCAGAGACGCCATGCTCAGCTCTCCCGGGTAGACGCGATAGCTCTGCTCTCTGAGGCACACGCGATGAAGATGGACATAGGCTAGAATCTTCCCAGTAAGCGCACCTTGGGGTACTTATACACATTATTAGAAATGGGCTAGTCCAGGTGCGAGAATTAGCCTGTAAGGGCTAGAGTTCATGGGCCAAGCAGTTCTTAAATGAATACAGTTTGTGTGTTGTTATTTCGGGCATAAGCTAGCCAAGCGGCCGGGGTGTTGGGGACGCAGCCCCGCCGCTCCTATTTCAACAATACATAGGCCATTCTATTCATACAGAGGCCATTCTAGTCATACATAGGACATTATAGTCATACATAGGTCATTCTAGTCATACATAGGTCATTCTAGTCATACAGAGGCCATTCTAGTCATACATAGGTCATTCTAGTCATACATAGGCCATTATAGTCATACATAGGCCATTATAGTCATACATAGGTCATTCTAGTCATACATAGGACATTATAGTCATACAGAGGCCATTATAGTCATACATAGGACATTATAGTCATACATAGGCCATTCTAGTCATACATAGGCCATTCTAGTCATACATGGGCCATTATAGTCATACATAGGACATTATAGTTTGTTCTTGTTCTCCTCCTTCACTGTCCTCTCAGGCTCCCTCTTTCCTTCTACTTTCTTGCCCCCCATTACACTCTTTCTCTCCTCTCAAACTCCTTTTACTCCCCTTCATCCCAAGTCCCTCCCTTTTTGTTTTAAAGATTTACTTTAAAGTATGTGACTGTTTTGTGTCTCTGTGTGGGTATGTGTACGAGTATCTGCAGAGGCCAGAGGTGTTGGATCTCTTGGACCTGGTGACAGCTGTGGCTGTGAGGAACCAGATGAGTTGGGAACTGAACTTGGGTCGTCTGCAGGAAGAGCCTTAACTGTTGAACCATGTCTCCAGCTCCCAGAGCTCCCTTTCTACTTCAATGTCTCTCTCTCTCTCACACACACAGATTTATTCTAGACTCCATATATGACAGAAAAAAACATGCTATGGTTTTCTGAGTATGGCTTAGGTCATGTAACGTAACAGTTTCCAGTTTCATCCATTTCTACAACAATTTTCATTCTTTGCCTATAAAAATTCCATTGTAGGGGCCAGAAAAAACGGCTTGGCAGGTAAAAGGGCTCGTCATCAAGCCTTAGGGCCTGAGTTCAATCCCTACAACCTGCATAGAGGAAGGAAAGGGCCAAGTTGTTCTCTGATCTCCACAGGTACACTGTGGTCCCATACCCACCCACCTACATATAAATAAACCAATAAGTTTTAAATTCTATTGTATATATGGAACACATGTTCTTTAACCATCTGTTGATTGACATCTGGGTTGTTCTCTAGCTGGCTATTGTGAATAGTGCAGCAATAAACGTGTGTGTGTGTGTGTGTGTGTGGTTTGTGTGGTGTGTGTGTGTGGTCCGTGTTAAGTTCTTAGGACCCTCTACAGGTCAGAGGACTGTGACCTCACTGGATATCGTGCTGCAGGGTCCTGTACCAAGAAGTGGCTGCCCAGCAGACTCTCCCTGGGTGCCTGGGGGCGGGGGGGGGGCTGAAGGGGGGGACGCCTGGGGTAGCTGGGGAGGCCTGGGGCTTTCTCCGTCTCTTGGGGGGCACAAACGTGTTTTGCCACAGACTCCAGGCATGGGGCAGAACAGAAACGGCAGAAGCATGAGACTGAGGACAGGAATGGCTTCTGTATGTCCACAGAAAGGAGCTTCCGTGTGCTGGCACGTGTAGCCCGAATACAGGTCTGCGGTATTTAGGGAAAGGCCAACAGCCAGAGATGCCACCTGCCCTGCTGGGCTCCCTTTCCACTGTGCAGCCTCTCGGACGCTGTTCTTGCCATGAGGTTCACAGGGCAGGGCTCAGGCCTGGGGTAGCTCAGGATGGCTGCAAGTTCCAGACACCGGCAGGGGAGACTCCGCAGGGTGGGCCTCGGGTCAGCCGAAGCCTAGCACCCGAAAGTGAGGATTCTGGAGCCAGCCCTGTGGGCAGGGACACCGACATCACCCGAGGAGAGGGAATGGAGGCACTGGGGAGGGCCCTGAGGCTATGGCAGTACTGGCGCGCGCAGGTCCTCCAGGAGCTTCCGCAGGCCACCTCCGCAGGGGACGAGAGCTCGGCTCAACCGCCCTTGCGTGGTTTCGGCTCACAAGTGTGCAGCGGTCGCCGTGCACAGCCGGCCCCGGCAGCCGCCTCGGGGACACATGGGGCCGCTGCGGCCCCTTTAAGATGGACTAAACTCGAACTTTCCGTCACGGCTTCTTGGGGCGCACTTACGTCACCCTTCGGGGACGGGCCTGACGTCAGCGCGCCCTCCGCGAGGGGGCGGGGCCGATGACTCACGCGCAGTCCGGCCTTCGCCCCGCCGGGCTGCGTGCACGTGAGCGCGCTGCTCGCCCGTTCTAATTTTAGCAATGAGGTGTCAGGGTCGTGTGAGGTGAGGCTGCGGGGTCCCTGCGGGGACAGGGTCACGTGAGGTGGGGAGGCGCCCCCTCGGGGGAGGGGGGAGATGGGTCACGTGAGGTGGGGAGGAGCCCCCCTCGGAGGAGGGGGGGAGATGGGTCAGTGAGGTGAGGGAGGCCTGCGCGGGTGGGGGCCTCCCAGGGTCTCTGTGGCCCGAGTCACGTGATGTAGGAGTCCCCTCAGGAAGGGGGAGATGGGGTCATGTGAGGTGAGGTGGGAGCCCCCGCAGGGGAGGGGGAGATGGGGTCACGTGAGATGAGGGGGCAGGTCCCAGTGTGGGTCCTCTTGGTGGTTGGTGGTAGTGGGGTGTCTCCAGGGTCACATGACGTGACTCCACAGAGTCTCCACAGCCCTGGTGTTCCCAGGTTCGTGTGAGGTGAGGCTGTGGAGTCCAGCGTGGATCCCCTGGAGGGGACTGGGTCACGCGAGTTGAATCCGTGGGATCACCTGTGGAATTGTGGTCACGCGAAGTGCGAGCATACACAGCCCAGAGTCAGTGCCAGTCAAGGAAAGTCAGTGGAGCCATGCTTTTTCCAAGGGAAGCAAGTTCTAGAAAGTTCTCTGGTGGGTGAACCGGACCAGAGTTCGAGTTTAGGCAGTGTTGGGATTGTAGTAGAAAGCCGTGAATATCTTCGTGCTCTAGAGACAATGTTGAGTTCCAGGCTGGCCCAGCCGACTGCTGAGGAGACTTCCATGAGGAAAACAGGACACACACATGCCTCCGTCATCCAGAGTGCCCAGACCAGGGATGTGTGGTTAGACCGGGAGGGAAGACATAACCGGCACACCTGCTTCCTCCAACACCACTTGGAAGACAGGACATGACCGACCCCGCCCACCCCCCTGGCTCACGTGGGAGGGTGACTGGAGGGTCCTGGTGTGACCTTGGAGATTTGTTGTAGAGTGGGACCCGGACTGAGGGTACCCGAGGGACCTTCCAGGAACCAAATATGAGTTTAGTGTTGAAGAAATAAATGCCAGAAACCTTGTAAAATTGATGCTCAACCCTGCATTGGAGAGAAGTACTAGAAAAAAAAAAGCCTTTTCAGCAGAAAACTAGTGGGAGGCTGCTTGTTGTTTCCCTGCTGGCTTAGGTCTGAAATAATCACACAGAAACTGTATTAATTAAATCACTGCTTAGCCCATTAGCTCAAGCTTCTTATTGACTAACTCTTACATATTTAACCCATTTCTATTAATCTGTGTATTGCCACATGGCTGTGGCTTACTGACTAAAGTTCCCAGCATCTGTCTCCAGTGGCTACATGGTTTCTCTCTGACTCCACCTTTCTTTCTCCCAGCATTCAGTCTAGCCTTCTCCTAGTTCTGTTCTTCCCTGCCATAGGGTCAAAGCAGTTCTTTATTCATTAACCAATAAAAGCAACACAGAGACAGAAGGACCTCCCACACCAGAACATGAGCAGTTTGCTGTGTCCCAGTGAGTGCTTTGCGCTAGTGACAGATCTTAGGATTATTACATGCCGATTGTCTCCAGAGGCTGTAAAAGGCCTTTGGCCTTTGTGTAAGGAGAAGTGTTTAGTGATAAATGGTAATACAGGAACAGTGTCTAATGGTTAGTGCTTCAGTTTTTTCTTTCTAACCTCCTTCCCCGCTTTCAGAGAGAATCTGATGTGAGTTTTTTCATTTGCTTTCCAAAAATAAACACCCCACTGTGAATGTGTACAAATGCATGTGTACAAGTATTTTAAAATTTATTCCCATAATGATCCACCTTTAACCAGTTTAAAAGCCCTGAACGTTCAAATCTAATGTTGGTATTTTTGACATACCTGTATTCATACAGCCATCTCATGACCAGTGGTTCTCAGCCTTACAAATGCTTGACCCTTTAATACAGTTCCTCATGTTGTGGTGACCCCAACCATAACATTATTTTTGTTGTTACTTTAGAACTGTAATTTTGCTACTGTTATGAGTCATAATATGATATGCAGGATACCTGATATAGGACCCCTGTGAAAGGGTCTTCAACCCTTCCCAAGGGGTCATGACCCACAGGTTGAGAACCACTGCTCTTGACTCTAGCATGAAAAAAATGTATGTGCTGTTGACAGTTAAGCTGAGGATTTCGGTGTATTCTATAGCCAAATTGTACCTTGAGTTGTCTTTATTAATTTCAGTTTTGGAGATACTCTAAGTTGTACAGGTTGGCCTTGAAATTGTGATCTTCTTGGCTTCACCTTCACAAAGACTGTGCCACTTGGCCCAGTTTTTCTCTGCCGCCATGCACAAGCAGGGGCATCCCCTTCGAAACATTCATTGTAGAGGATACATTTGGAGGTCAGAGGCCAAGGGGCTGGAGAGAAGGCTCAGTGGTTAAGAGCAGCTTGAAACTTTCTGTAACTCCAATTCCAGGGGATCCAACACCTGCACACAGGTACACATGCCAGCAAAACAGCAATGCAAATAGAATAAAGATAAATTATTAGGAAAAAAAAGAAGCTTACCTGCCGTACCATCTTGCTCTCTATCTTTATTCCTTATTTTTCTACTTCCATCTCTCTGATTTTATGCCCGACTGGTCTGCCTTTCTTGGACCACATTTTTCATTTCCTCTATAAACTTTCTATTTTGGAAGGGTTGGGTTTTTTTGTTTGTTTGTTTTCTGATAGATTTGTGAGACAGGATTTTTTTGTTATACAACCCTGGCTGTCCTGGAACTCACTGAATAGACCAGACTGGCCTCAACTCAGACCTGATAGATTACCTGTGCCTCACAAATTCTGGGATTAAATGCATATGACCAAGTGTAGTGGTTCACATCTTTAATCCCAGCATGAAGGGGGCAGAGGCAGGTGGATATCTGTGAGCTCAGGACACCTCGGTCTACAGAGTGAATTCCAAGACAGCCAGAATTGAATAATTGAAAATGGCCATTTAAAAAAAAATGGCAAATGAACGAATGCATATCACCATAACCATCCCTACCTTGGAAGCTTTAGTTTGATAAGATATGAATGACACCGAATCATGTTCTCAGCCGAGCTGGTGTGTGTGTGTGTGTGTGTGTGTGTGTGTGTGTGTGTGTGTAATTTGTAAGAACCTTACTCTGGCGTTCTCTTAAACAGGTGTTTGTTGGGGTTTTGTTTGTTTTTTTGTTTGTCCACCAAACTTCTGTATTGTACTCAGGTTACTGGAGAGAATACAAGCTCCAGGCTTAACCTAGGTTGACTCAGGGTAGAGTGTGGTAAGAATTGCCAGCATACTCGTGCACGTTTGCTCCTTGCTGGGTCTGGTGGTGCAGGCCTGCAATCAGGTACTCAGGAGGATAGGAAGTCAAGGCCAGGTTGGGCAACTTTATGAGGCCTTGTTTCAAAATAAAATTTAAAGAGGTAGATATGGCTTAGTCTGTGTGAGGACCTGGATGCATGTAATTTATACATAGATATTAGTAGTAGTAGTTCAGTCTTTTCATAGAAAATTGGCCATTTGCTGTTTTTAAATTATTTGTGCCTGGGGATAGGGTATTGATGTGGAATGTCCTTCTGTATATGTGTTGCTTTTATTGGTTAATGAATAAAGCTGCTTTGGCCTATGGCAGGGCAGAATATAGCCAGGCTAGAAGAGATAGATAGATAGATAGATAGATAGATAGATAGATAGATAGATAGATAGATAGATAGATAGAGTACATGGAGTCAGAGAGATGCCATGTAGCTGCCGAAGGAGACAGACAATGGAACCTTACCAGTAGTACACAGCCTCATGGTGATACACAGATTAATAGAAGTGGGTTAAATTGTAAGAGTTAGTTAGTAAGAAGCCTGAGCTGATAGGCCAAACAATGTTGCAATTAATATAGTTTCTGTGTGATTATTTGGGTCTGGGTGGCCAGGAATGAAAGAGCAGTCTCTGTTTACAAGGCATGAGGACAACGTGGAGTTGGCTCTAACCTTGCACCATGTGGGTTCAGGTATCTCAAGCTCAGATTCTCAGGCTTGGCAGGTACCTGCTGGACCATCTAGCTGGCATGTTAAACTTTTGGTCACCTGCTTCTACCACCCACGTGCTGGGATTCCACACCTTTACTACTATAACCAACACCAGATTTAAGGATTTATTTATTTTTATCTATATGAGTATTTGGCCTGCATATGTGTTTGTGCACCACAAACATGCTGGTACTTGAAGAGACCAGAAGAAGGTATTAGGTGCCCTAGAACTGGAGTTACAGACTTGTCATAAGGTTCCTGTGGGTGCTGGGAATCGAACCTGGGTCTCCTGGAAGAGCAGCTATTGCTTTTAACCCCTGAGCCATCTCTAACTCTTCTCTCTTCTCCTTAGTCCCTGTGTCACCAGATGATAAGCACCATGAAGTCAGGCCCTTTGTATTGTCAGTGCATGGTACATGAGTGTTGTTGGATTAGTGGATCACTATGTATGGTGGGTTAGATAAAGTTACAATAGGATCAAAATCTGGGAAAGCCTACAGTGTTCTGCTTGGTCAAAGTCACAGGTGGTTTTGGAAAATGGAATGATTTACTTATGCCTTAGATGAAGAATCTGTATGTAAAATACAGGCCAGATTTCATTTGAGAAATACCAGCATCAAAACCAAGTCCAATACCTCTCAAGACATACTATCAGGAGAGAGCCACTAAGAAGACTGTCATACAGTATCATAAAAGATACCATCCCAACAGATGAACAGTTAATTCTCAACACAGAAAACACAAGAACAACAAGGAGCAAAAAAACAGTTAAATGAACTAAAGAAAGCGACACAGGATCTGAAAGGGAACTGACAGAAATCATGGACCTTTTGAATTGTTAGTGTCAGACAAGAACAGAAGAAAAAAGCATGAAGAGAAAATCCAAGAAATTTAGGTTTCTCTTTTTAAAAAAAATCAAACATTTGGATTATTAGCATACCTGAGGAAGAAGAGCTACAGGTTGTGGGCATTAAAAAAAACTTAGTAAAATAATAACAGGAAACTCCCCAAATCTTTGGAA